TATGCTACCAGAGCTCCTATACATATGTATATGTACTATATATTAATATATAAGTATTCACACATATATATTAAGCAATGTGAATGTGTCCCACCTATTCTAAAATTAAATTAAAAATTTTAATTTACCCAAAAAAATAACAAACAGAAACAAAGTCACTGACTGACTGATTCTGACTCACAGCAACCCTATAGGACAGATTAGAGTAGAAGTGCTCCATAGGGTTTCCAAGGCTTTAATCTTTACGAAACCAGACTGCCACATCTGGAGCAGCTGATGGCTTTGAACCACCAATCTTTCTGTTAGCAGTCAAGTGCTTAACTACAGAGCTACTAGGGGTCCAATTTAACACAATCCAAACCCACTGACACTGAGCCAATTTTGATTCATAGCACAGGATAGAGTAGAACTGCCCCATGGGGTTTCCAAGGCAGTAAATCTTCACAGAATCAAACTGCCTCATCTTTCTCCAACAGAGTGGCTGGTAAGTTCAAACTGCTGACCTTCTGGTTAGCAGCCCAAAGCTTTAACCACAGCACCACCAGAGCTTTTCAGCTCTTTATTTTAGCATAAACCAGACCACAATTTACCACAGAACTAGGAGAGGACCTAAAAATAATCCAGTCTAATTTCTTCACTTTATTTATACATTATATTTTATGTAAGTAGGACAGATACAGCATTTCAACCTGTCATAAAGTTAATGCCAGATTTAGGAGTAGAACCCAGGTCTTCTGATTCCCAGCCTTGTTTCAATGTTAGTTCCCAATGAAAATATCCACTGATGCATTCCAAAAATTGAGTGTCGTGCTAAGGTGAAATACCATGCCCTCTGTCACTATATAGAAAGAGATGCTGATAGGAAGGCAAGCAAATCTTGAGTCATTTTCACATACCTCTGTAAAACTGAAGAAGAGGCCGATGCCACCAACAAATCTCAAGACCTCTCCGGCATATTCTCCTATTATCGGAGCACATGGTAAGCACTGGTGGCCGCTTTTAACACAGCTCTGTATCAATTAAATAAAATAATATCTATTTCAATATACATTTATGAAGAACAACAACAACAACAAAAAAAAACCACAAAACACAATTTAGTGTCTGGAGGCATTATTTCCAATTTGAGGCCTTGGGCCTCATGATGAGTAGAATTCTAAAATGGCCCCCAAGACCTCCTCCAAATCCACCATCCCCAGTGTAAACACTGTACAACCCCCTCACTTGAGTGGGGGCAAGTCTTGTGAACATGATGGGATCATCCCTCCCTTGATTGCATTGTATTACGTAGACTCCATCTTAGCAGAATGGGCAGAGTCTCATGCTGGCTTTGAACAGCCAGGTTTTAAGAGGGCTCTGTATTGGGACCTGAGAATAGCCTCCAGGAGCTGACAGGCTCTCAGCAGACATCCAGCTAGAAAACAGGGACTTCAGTCCTGCAATCAACAATCAGTGATTGTGGAAGGAGATCTTCTGCCTTAGATGACACTACAGCCCTAGCCAACACCTTGATTTCAGCCTCGTGAGACCCTGGGCAGAGAACCCAGGTACCCATACCCAGACTCCTGATTCATGGAAACTGTGAGAAAATAAATATTTTAAGCCACTAAGTTTGTGCTTATATGTTACATAGCAAGAGAAAACTCAAACTAACACAGGACTCTATAAAAACCAAACTCATTGCCATCAAGTCAAACCCAACTTGGGTTTCCAAGGTAGCATCACTACAAAAGTAGATTGCCCAACCTTCTTTCTGAGAAGTGGCTGGTTGGCTTGAACCACCAGCGTTTCTGTTAGCAGTCAAACACCTTAGTCACTATGCTACCAGAGCTCCTACAGGACTCTATAGCAAAAAAAAAAAAAAAAAGACACAAAAGAGGCCTCATTGAGGGAATTTCCAGCTTAGGGCTCAGAAAAGTGCTAATAGGAGTTTTTCAAAATACAAACCCGTGTGCACTTCCTAAGAAAGACAAGCCCTGAGCCCATCCTCACACAAACCAGACTGGAACTTGAGGCCAGGGGCTTGATGAGGATGGCTGTAACTGTTATATCTGAAAGAGAAAGGGTACGAAGTTGTGCTGGGGTGTGCATTGCAGTGAATTCTTAATGTGGACTTCTAGCCAACATATTTGTGACTCCTACACAATGACTTGGTAGGACTATGCAAATATGGTGTTTTTGGTCCACTAAGGGGATTGGGCAGCCTGCTATGAATGTAAATAAGGTGCATGGAACCCCTGAGGAGGTGGGACCATTCAAATAAGGTACACGGAACCCTAAGGAGGAGATTAATCAGTTTTGCCATCCTGCTAGGCTTTTAACAAACAATCAAAAAAAAAAAAAAAAAAAGCCAATCAGAGCAAGGGGAGGACCTCACCACCAACAAGAAGAGCTGGGAGTGAAGCACATCCTTTGGACCTGGGACTCTGCACTGAGAACCTCCTAGACTCAGGAGACAAAGAGCTGTAACAAGGGAGATGACACAAGATGGGGAGAAGCATCAAGCAGCAAGTACAGCAGAGAACTAGCAGCAGCAGATCCAGGAGATGGCATGGTAAGCTTCCTGGCCCATGGAGCGAGAAAGCTGAGTGCCTTCAGGAAGGAGGCTAGCTGGTGGAGTGGGCTATCTCTGGCACTTGTCAGCAAAGCTAGGCTTGCCAGCCCGTGGAGCTGGAGAGCTGAGTGCCTTTGGGCTAACGTTCACTGCCAGAGTAGGGTACCTCTGGGCACTACAGGTAGAGCTAAAGAGCTTTGTAATACTTGCCAGAGGAGAGCAGAAGCCAGCCCAAGGGGCCAAAGGGCCAAGAGAAGAGATCCAAGGGGCTCAGGGGTCAAGGGTCCAGAGGCTGAGAAACTGAGCACCTGGGAAAGAACTGCCTGTGTGCACGGCTGAGAAGCTGTTCTGACTGAAGATCTGCATCCTGAGCCATTCCTGACCCTGAATTATACCTGTTACTAATCAACTCCTGCCTCGGAAACCCAAGGAGGGGTCACCATGAGTCAGGTCTGACTTGATGGCACGTAACAACAACAACAACAACAACAATCAACTCCACAGTCATGAGTAACGTCTGAGTTCTGTGTGGCCAATACAATGAATTACTGAACCCAGCAGAGAAATAGAGAATGATGTGGGAGGGGCGGCTAGTATCAGAATTGGTAAAAAGGTTGAAGAGAAAAGGTATGTTTGACCTCCACTTCATAAGCCATGGGCTCAGAGCTAATGCCTATGATGATCCTCTCTCCCTCTTGTGTAGTTAGAGGAGGTCAGACACCCTTACCACATCATTTTTACAGGGTGGAAGGGAGAATGAAAACAGGTCCCCATCCTGTGGATGCTTAGCTGGTTAAGAAGTCCAGTTTGGTACAAATCACTCTCTTCCTACCATGCCTGATAATGGTTTAAAACCAAGATATTTACACACCTCACTAAGTCTGATCTGCTGTTATTTCTTTTCCACAACTTGTTCTATGAAGAGTAGAATGGGAAGACCTTAGAGATAATAACAAAGCATCTGTGTACATCAGGACCCTAAAATATTCAGTCCTCTTGGGAGTGGCTATCAATGGGCAAATGATATAATAGTGTACATAGAAATAAAATGTACATATACAAAAAGCATTTTTGAAATATAATTCAGCATCAGAAAGTCCGTATCTTCCAGGTTAATCATTATCCACCTATACGTAATACACCTCCAATAAATGTTTTATACTTTGTACTTACAGCCAAACAGGTTTCATTTGTGTCAACACTTCGGAACCCACAGCAATTTAAATTTCTCTGGATGTCATTTCGAGCACTTGCTGTATTATTCCAACCAACTTCCAGAAGCTGACCCTAGATAATGCATTTAATACTTACATTAAAACGTGTCATCCCTGTGTGAAATTTATGAAGCTAGAGCTTGTCACTTTTAGTTTTAAGTGTACCTAAAATAAATACTTTTTATAAGACACTAAACTTTTCAAAGGTTTATCTACAATCTGCAATAAAAATTAAGGCACTATCTCCAGCTCAAGAGTGAAAATGTCTTAATTTGTAAATGCAATTTCAAAGAAGTATATGGTTTGAAGGCATAATTCTCAGAGTTGACAAGACAAAATTCTATTGCCCCAAGATCAAGGCCCATCTTCCTCTACAAATTAAGATTCTGAAAAATGTTAATAATTAAAATGGAACTGCAAACATTCTGGAGAAAACATTCCATAATAGTGGGAAAAGACTGGGTGGGTATATTTTAACATTCTGAGCAAGAAGAAATTACTTTATATTCCAATCATTTCCCCTCCTTCTCCTGTACTCATACTATATGGTACAATAAAGTAGAAGGAAAAAATTTGTGCTTACCTGTTGCTCCTGGTTCAGGGCTAAACAAGCACAGGATACAGAAAACTGAACAATAAATACAAGTAAGAGAATAATCATGTACTGAGAGTTCTAGGTTAAGGGTATTCTAAGTAATTTTAAAATAACATAAAACAGAGGTACAACTTCTGAAAGGAATATACATAATAACTATTTTGATAATGTATTGTGGATACAACTTCATATAGAAAAATACTAATGATAATGATAATTACTTAACTAAAAGCATATTTATTAGAATTTTATTTGGAATAAAATACAAATTCTTGCATTTATAAAAGAGGAAATAATTACAGATAAATACATGTAAGTTTTCTTAAGATAAACCATTGTGAAATTCGATCAACTATTAATAGCCTGTAAAGGTCCTAGAGGTCACTGAAGCAATTCAATGCAATTCTGAATTTGTAATACATACTTGAAGAATATAAACTTGAACTTGAAGAATATATTCTATGTGCTGTGACAAGGAAAAAGGAGGAATATGTAAACATGCAATAACTTTAAGAGATGTTTCTATGTTGAACAAATACATATAGGACTTGCTAGAGATGTTGTCTAGGAGCTCTGGTAGCATAGTGCCTAAGGCACTTGACTGCTAACCAGAAGGCTGGTGGTTCAAACCCACCAGCCACTCCTCGGAAGGAAGATGGGGCAATCTAGTTCCGTAGTGATACTGCCTTGGAAACCCAAGGAGAGGTTGCTATGAGTCGGGTATGACTTGACAGCACATAACAACAACAACAGAGCTGTTGTCTGACATTTAATTTTAAATTAATTTGTAGCTATCAAGTAGTAATCAACAGTAAATAAAGACTTAAAACCAACAGAATAAATACCACAGAATAAAAAGGATACAAAAAATAGCAACACCTGATGGTGTTTTACGGCTCCAATCAGCCCCACTAATGCAATCAGGAACAAGAATATGCCCACTGCAATGACCACACCGACCACTCGGAGACTGGAAATCAGCCCGAAGCCAATGCCCCATGCAGCAATTCCAATTAGCAGCAGACTAACCAACTGCAAAAACAATCAAAAATGGGGAAAGGGAAATGGGAGGGTGTAGTGTCATTTATATAATTTCAAGAAGATTTTTCAAGTACCTACTAAGTACCTTACCAATGATAGCAAATACTAAATACTAGAATAGATATATAGTATTATTTTAACAAAATATATTAATCTTCAATCATGCTTTAAAAAAATAATAATTAACAATAATCTAAAAAAATATGGAGCCTCAGAGATCATCTGGTTTATTAAGTCAACACAGGCTACTTAAGCTTTTGAAGTAACAGCACATATAAAAAAAGCTTCCAGGTACTAATACATCTCAGCCAATACACTGGCTTCTTCACTCTTACATTACTTACCTTTCCTTGGGGCAGTGGTTAAAGCCTTGATGCTGCTAACCAAAAGGTCAGTGTTTCAAACTCACCAGCTGCCTCATGGGAGAAAGATGAGGCAATCTGCTTCCTTAAAGATTTACCGTCCTTGGGGCAGTTCTATTCTGTCTTATAGGGTCCCTATGAGTCGGAATCAATTTGATGGCAGTGAGTTTCCATCAAAGCTCAGCTGGACTGCAACCTGCTCTGCAATGCCTGCCTCCTCCTTGACAGACTGAACAGACTGAATTCATCCTTCTCTTCTCTGAGCATTTTCTGTTCCTTGAATGTGGCTCTATTACTCCCCTCAGCATACTCACATTCTGTTTTCAAGCATGGCTCTCCAAGGAGACTGTAAGTAACTTGAGAGCAAGCACCCATATCTTTTCACCCCTCAACGTCCCTGGAACCTACCACAGGACCTGACACCTTGCTCACTGAACTGTTGCTGAAATGAACTGCTTTAGATGTCATGATCTACTCTATTTTTCTAGATATTAATGTGAATGCACATTATATTAGTGACATTCATATGACATAACCATTCTAGTCATTCTAACAGAAATACAGTGTTTTTATGCAAATAATACAAAACTTCTAGGTTTATCTGCCAACTGCTCCCTCCCCCAGGAGGTATTTTTGTTAGAGTGATATGCTTTTTTTTTTTTACAGTCATATGTTAAAAAAAAATGACATAGTTGTGCTTATGAAAATACCTCCATGAGGGGAAGCAGTTGGTAAACAAACCTAGAAGGAATATGTTATCTGTACAAAAATATGGAGTGTGTGTGTGTGTATGTGTGTGTATATATCCATTACAATTTTCAGCAAGATAAAGAGAGTAGAAAAGATTTTAGCTATTTCAAGTGAAATGGCATTCAGTTGGCAGATAAACCTAGAAGATCTGTGATATTTGAAAAAAAAAAACACTGCATGCATTTCTGTTAGAATGACTAGAGTGGCATATGCCATTAATATGATTTGCATTCTTATTAATGTCTAGAAAAATAAATAGCCTATATACTGACATCTAAAGCAGTTCATTTCAGCAATAATTCATTGAGCAATGCCATAGCATATATAAAACAAAATCAAATTAAAAGATAGGAAACATGCCTCAATAAAGGACATTACTTGTAAAATTCAGTTACAAGTACACCTTTAAAATAACTCAAATTAAATAAACTTAAATAAACAGTAGACCATAATAAAGATTATAATTAACTAATATAAGATGTGGCTTAAACAAGTCAGAATCAACTCCATGGCAACTGTTTGGTTGTTTTTTTGTTTTGTTTTGTTTTTGTTTTTTTTCCTTTAAATAATAGTTTTAGGGGGAGAGTTAAGGGGAGGAAGTTATGAAGGAAGGAGACAGTATCTTCAATTGAGGTTCAATTGGGAGGAATCACAATACATAAAATATGCTTTTTAGCACCATTTAAAGTCTTGATAACGGTTTATAAATATAAAAGTGGATATTTATAAATATAAAATTGATCTTTTTCTACTCATATATAATTTTTGATATACATAGTCATAATTTAGGAGCTTTGGTAGCATAGTGCCCAAAGCATCTGACTGCTAACAAGAAGGCTGGTGGTTCAAACTCACCAGCCACTCCACAGAAGGAAGGCTGAGCAATCTACTTCCATAGAGATACTGCCTTGGAAACCCAAGGAAGGGAAAAACTCCACAGCAGTGAGAGCTTGGTATCTGAAAAGTTCTTACATATGTAGAAATAAAAGCAAAACTCCCAAATTTTAACAAATATAGCATCTATTAGCATGTTTCTTCATTTATTACAAAGAAGCAAAACTTGAAAATGAAAGAAACTATTGGTAGCAAAATAGAATGAAGTTTCAGAGTTATCTCCAACCATCTATCAGTTTGTTGTACCACGGTGGCATGTGTATTGCTATGATGCTGGAAGCTATGCCAGTGATCTTTCAAACCAAAGGTTATCCACAGTGCATAGGCTTCAGTGGAACATCCAGACTGAAAGAGAGTAGGGAAAAAGGCCTGGTAACCTACTTTTGAAAATTAGCCAATGAAAACTTTATGGATCACCACTTTCTTTGAAAGATAGAACAACTGGAAAGAAACTCAACAAAGATGCAGAAGAGCTAAACAATACAATCCACCAACTTGGCCTTATAGACATCTATAGAGCACTTCACC